ATAGTTGACCTGGTGCATTTATCTGTGCTTTATAAATGGCATTTTACATGTGTTACTGCAAGGATTAGTTTTTATACTTTTAACAAGTCTATCAAAGTTGAAAGTTTCAAAGTCTTTAAAAGTTTCCTACAGAGCTCTACCCATCTTTGTAATTCAGTATCAACTTATTCTCCATAATTGAAACCGGCGTTTAAATGCATCAAATTGTAACTCTTCCTTCTGTATCAAATTTATTTTATACTAAGAATATATTTCTCTAAGCAACTTTGCTCATCCTATAGTTCCCTAAAAATTCGCGCTAGATGGCATTGACCTGTGTTATTCAAATTTTGCATGGCGGTGCAATGTAATGGTGAGTACCTCAACCGATTTTTGATTATGTGAGGAAAACATCATTACTATTAATTCGTTTCTATGGGTTGAATTTGTTTTAATATATAATAGACACACGCGTGGCCACAATCTCACCTGATATTAAGGGACGATGTGACCGACAATGGAACGCATTTGCCTAAAAAATACCTATTCAATTTAGCCTTGAATAGCACGTTTCGGGAAACACAGATGCGTAGAGTATTCCATTCTTTTGTCGCACGCATCAGAAAGGAGGAAGCAAAGCTCTTAGTGCGAATTTGTGGTATATCAACGACAGAAGGATGGAGTGTTCCGGACCTTCTAGTCAACCGAAAGAGGAACGGTGAGGGTGGAACTAAATTGAAAAGTTCCTGCGCACACTCCCCGAAATGTATCCGATAGAAAACCGATAGGCAGGTTACTTTTCTGCGACTGTCGAGATTTTGTAGCTTCGACTCCACAAGAGAATTGTTATTAATAAGTCTCTTTGCTTTTCGCTCCACCGAGTCCAAGGCAACTAACTGGTAACAGGCAGAGCCGTCCAAAGGTGGCAACAGTACTCAATACACGATCGAGCTGTGCCTGTTTAGGTGTGAAGTACCGCCTGACCTTGAAAAGTATGCCTAATTTTTTGGCAGCAGTTTTTACCAAGCACTCGTTGTATTGCTCAAAGTTGAGGTTGGATGATACGTCCAGACCAACTAGCTCAAGGTGGTCACTTATCGCCACGGAATGTTGTGAGAATGACTACTTGGAACTATCTGACAGTTTAAATATAAACTTTTTCATATTGTGCTCGGCGGTACTATGCCCGTTACACTTAACCTGGCACTTTGTAACCTTTTATATAAAATTTGGTGACGTCATTTCACATTTCATTTCTTTTCTAGTTGTTGTCTTATTATATTCTCTCTGGTTATTAATGTTTTCTTCTAATTACCTGATCCATTTCGATGGCAATCTTTAGCACAGTCTTATGTGGAGTGTGATATACTTTTTTCCATTATTATAAGAAACTACAGCGCCTGTATACCTTCATTAGCATGAGCGTCTCAATATATACTTTACTCTTTTACCGCAAACGAATTTAACGATGATCGATATTTTGTATGAACGTTTACGAAGTAACATGTCTAGCAATTAATCGAATTCGTATTCAAATGGAATATTATAATATCTCAAGAGGTCTGCGTTGTAATCGTCAGTGTAAATCTATTTAATTTTGTGACTTTTAAATGCGTGTTGAGTGGACCAGTTTACGTCATTATATAATTTTTTGACGCTACCGTGGAGCCTATTTGCACGATGATATTTTATAGCTTGACAAAATCTATTTCCTGTTAGTTGTTATCATTATCTTTGTCTTTGAGCTAAATCGAATCTTTCTTCAAGTGCTACAACTTATTGCAAAAAATCTTTAAAGTGTGATTTCAGTAACCAATTTCCTTCACACTTAAGTCTGGGTAAGATCGCGCTTGAAATATCTTTGCATAGGTGGTGCTGCCTCCATCTGCTATAAAATATTGAATATATTATGATCCAATGCATTGCTTGAACACTTCTACTAAGATCTCAGAATTCGTAGCTATAAATAGATTTGATACAAAGATCAAACAACACAAAATGTTCCTCCAATCTAACTGGACTCTAACCAACGTTTGTTGTCACACAGGGTCTACCGTTCTTACCAACCGAACTACTGACCGAGTCGTTATTGTATCTTCAGATACAACAATATTTATTATTTTAGTTGTTTCACAAATTCTGACTACAAAAGTGGCTCGCGCGTGTCACAACAGTGGCGGTGCAACTTTACTGCGCTTCCAAAAATTAGTAGCCACTGTGGCACCACTGCAGCGCATCTATAAGTGTTTAATTTGAAGGCATCCTACATAAAGAAAGCCTTTTAAAACTTTTTATTCCTACGACGTTCAGTCTATCACTTGTATTAACCAATTTCGTAATGCGCTGGAATTTAGCACAAAAAAGACCTAGGTAAAATATTCATGGTAGGAGATAAAGTATTCAATATAATATTTTCACATTACGAGTTCATATACTTATTCTTTCGTAATACGTTACATGTACATTTCTATATTCGTAGATTCTTTCTATTGTAGCGATAAAATTCATTCGTGGAACACAATTACGATGATAAATGAAACCATTTTGCGTACTGCCAACTTACATGTGCAGTTTTGTATTACGTGTTTCGAAGTTTTTTCTCGGGCAAAGTGATGTTTGTTATACTTTTTTCTACTAACCATAAGCAATATAAATCAATAGCCCCCTTTACACACACTCTATCGCGCGTGATCAGGAGTGTACAGGATTACGCGCGGGGAAGCCTACACGCGCAATCTTGCGCTATTACCTTTTTGAATATTTTTAAGCTAATGTTCTTTCACGCGCGATTGCTCGTTTCTGTTACAATTGGAAGAGCGTCTAATAGCGCAGGATAGACCGCATGAAATTGACGCGTGTTGGAGTGCGCGATTGCGCGCGCGACTGATGAGCGCAAACTCGCGGTCTTTCCCTTTTCCTTCCAACGTCTTTACACGAGCGCTCAATCGCGGCAAGATTGCTGTATAACGCACGATAGAGTGTATAAAACCCGCTGATGATTAATTTACGACCCCACATTACTTACTTTTTCGGGACTTTGCGTACCTATAAACAAAATTGGTTTTGTCGTACCGAAGGACGCAAAAATACCAAAAAATAAATATTGATCAATGTCTTACCTATAAGAAGCTTTACTGCGAAACAGATATTGAATACGTACAAATTATAACAAAATTGCTAAATAATAATAGTATTTTTAGTACTTGCAAAACCCTCGGTCCCTTACATTTTCCTTCCTTCTCAAACACGGGTACTCTACTGTGGCCGCCTGTTTCCACTGGTCGATTGCCAACCGATAAGTTGGCAACTTCGAGAAAACCTATAGTTTAAGCTATGAACCCCACTGTGTGATCGCCCCACTAAAGCGATCAGGATTAAAATATATTCAACACTCATTTCCTTTTCCCTTAAGTTACATACAAACTGTGGTCAATGGTAAACCGTGAAGTGTTCATATCGACTCACCGCCGCGAATTATATTCTCGTCATTTTCTGCACTTCGTCCTATAAAATATTGTTTCAGTACTTACTTACTTGCAACGGGACCTACTTGCAAAATGCAGTTTGCAAAAATAACTTTAATTCACTTTAAACAACAAAAATACACTCTATTATTCATTGTTCGTTTAGGTTTCTCCGCAGGTCTTACTTGCCTAAAATATACCTACACTTACTAATACCCACGGAAATGAATTTAGGTACATCAGTAATGTTAACATAATGTAATACATCTATAAAACTATAATCGTCAACCCTTCCACACGTTGCACTTTTTTTTTCACAAAAAGGTTTAAATCCAATTGTTAATACAATAGTGTATTAACTCAAAAAGTGTAATTTTTTCAGAAACATATAAACTAAATAAAAAATTACCATTTTCATTTATTAAAATTTATGCATAGTCTAAAGTTTATTACAGACATCTAAACATATCCTTCATGTCAAATAAATTTAAAAATAAAATTGAAAAAATAATTTCACATTTTTGAGTAAAAACTGTTTTGTCCAGAACTAGCTCAAAAAGTTTGTCTCATTTTGAGTAAAGTAACGCCAGTTTTATTGACTTGTAAAGAACCAAATTTCACGTTCAGCTATAGTAGAATCTTGAATTTCACATATTTTGAGTTACAACACTATTGTAATAACAGTGCGATGTATAGATTTTTAAAATTTCATATATTTATGTAATTTGTTTCATATAGTTCGTGTTATTTTTCTGATTTTCTTGTTATAAAAGCACTTTTAACGTATGGTCACATGTCACGTATCTCTATAGAATAGAGGGTGAATTAAAATTTTATACGTTTTGTTAAGAATTGCTAATCGCAATAGGGATCATATACATATTTATGTGTCCCAAATCTGAGCCTCCTAGCAATAAAATCTTAGATTTATTGTTACCAGCTGTGACTCTTTCGAAGTTTGTAATATTTAGATACGAGTACAAACTTTACGTAATAAAATACTATGTCGAAGGTATTCCAAGGATTCGCACAAAGCGTTTCGCTTCCACATTCATATGGCGAACGGCTATAGAGTGGAATTCCCTGTTTGCAGACTTATTCTCTGAATATTCAATTGTTATTTTTATTTATTAGTCTTAGAATACCTTGTGTCACTCAATATAACTTGTTACACATACAACGCATGTGAACTTATGCGGTAATTCTTTTTTTATTTTTGTATCAAACGTTTGATTTGGTTTGAATTGTACATAACTTTTTTAAATATTTTTTCTCTTTACACTTTCACTTCTCTATTTTTTGTAGTAATTAGTGGTTAACGGTGTTGGTGACACAATCATTACATATTTAGTGTAAAAAAATTAGTTATAAGTTTTAATTGTGTCTACTGTTTGCCGACCCAATTAATTGTTGTTAAAAATTGAAAAGAACATTATAACTTGAATCTTTTCAAGACGAAATACTAAATAGGCATTTAGATGTGCACGCTCCTTCGTGTGTGTGTGGTGAGATGGCTGTCAAATGCGCACCTATTTTGTTATATAAAAAAATACTAACCCTTTGCCATCAACAGTATCCGTATCAACATGATGCTGCAAAGGCGTGGCGTCAGGTGCGGAGTAAAAGACATCGTCAAGCTCAGCGTCGTCTGGCGTGGTGGGGGGACCGCGAAAGGAACGCGACCATTGCGCAGACGTAGATTGCCGCGATCGCCTTGTCACCGCCTGAAAATGAAGAATGGGATCATGAGGTATTCTTTATACAAACCGGACACGAGCTTTTTCAAGAAGTCAGAACCTGATGAGGGGATTTCATGGAAATCGAAAAGCAAACTTTTGAGATCACTTTTTTTTTCAATGAAAAGGTTACAATTATTTATTTAGTGTTTTAAGCTGTTGGTTTTCCTTAAATAAATTAAATTAAATTAAATTAAATTAAATAAGACTTTATTCATCAAACACACATATATAAATAGAGAATAACAAGTACAATAATTAACTATGAACTAAACTAATCCATCCATAATATATAATGTTGATGAAAAGGACGAAGCCTCAGCAAAGTGCTGTTTTTCAGTCTCCGCCTGTGTTCTCTGTCGGACACTGCCGGAACATAATATTGAATAATAGGTCTACAACAAAGATAACATTGCTATTCTTACTTAAGTCTAACTATTTATTTACTGGCCACGAGTAATAATGTGTATATATAAAATAAAAAGTAAAACTATATACTATGATGTAACTACATCATATACAATTGGGACGATAACGGGTACCAATGATTATTTACTATACAACTACGGACTATTCAACAACCGACCAGCAACATGTGGACTTCTGTTGCAAGAGAAGCCATTCTTTACACTTTCGTTTGAAAGTGTAGAAAGACTTAGCCGTTTTCACCGGCGGTGGCAGATCATTCCAACATTTAGAGGCAGCAAAACGGAAGCTGCCTCTGAATGCTGTCAAATATGGGCGAATCCGCATTTGTAACATTGGATACCTAATTCCTCTAGTGCCGCTATTATTATAAATAAACATTATTTCATTTCATTAACTGCCTCTGTGGTGTAGGTCTCGGATTCGATTCCCGGGCCGGGAGAAATATTTGTAAGGCCTACTTCTATTTCTCTCCTGAGTCTGGGTGTAATCTGTGGTTGTCTATTTTTTTTTTTTTTTTTTTTTTTATATATACCTGACAGGCAAATGACTCCACTCCACCTGATGTTAAGTGGAAAGTGGTATCCAAACGCGAAGGAACCTAGTGCAGCGATGGAATCTATGTGAGTGTCCATGGCATCCGCGACACAGGGTTTCCCTAGTGCGGGGCTATGATAGTGTGCGTTATGTGTGCGTCATATTCGTGTCATTTTGACGACATTTTGTAGCAGTAGAGCTCCTTGTGAAAGTATTCGTCCAGGGAAGTACTGCCACCCTGTAACACATTTTTTTCCGTAGATCCACTAAATACGAAACAGAAACCAAGTTTATCTTCTCTCCTTGGTATTTTTCACCATTCTTGTACTAAATGTCACTTTGACGTTATAGTCTAAAAATAAAAATATTTAGTAAATTAATTGAAACTCTTAAGTGTTGGTGTAATCTATTCTTTAAACCATTCACATATATATTACCTGTTGGTGAACGATTTGTCTATAAAATCAATAGCGTGAATGGGTACCCTTTAGTTTGACATATTTTTGAAAACACCAACCCTGGCTAATTTTTCTTGTATGGTAACGTACAATACTAGTGCTGCGTACCAATGAACTCGATTTTACTTCTGTAGTCGAGCTTCATAAAAATTATAGCTTTTCTTTAATATTTCCACGTCGAACACCGTCAAATAGTTTGCCAAGTATTTTCTGTAAAGTAAGATACGTAAACCTGGAATCGCCATGTATTCTTGCGGGTTTAGGTGATAAGACTTGGGAGCTGTATCTAGATGATTCGATAGATTGTCTGTGGCGTTGTTCGCAGGTAACATCTCTTAGGAGGAATTCGGCGGAAGCTCATTTTTTCTGTTCGACACGTCGGTGCGCAAGGTGTTCCAGATTTCCTAGATCGTCTACGGTGATTTATCCCATTGGGGGCATGGTCCCCCAATGTCTTCTTAAATAAAATAATATAGGAATAGCCAGATGTCGTAATTATGGGTCTCCGAACCTTGTACCAAAAGTAAAACCCGTGTCACCGGACCTCATGGGTTTTTCTTTTTCTTCTTAGTTGTACCTTTGGCACTTGTAATTTCGAATCTCGCCATCAACTGAATGGCTGAGACTAAGCTGCTGTAACTTTTGTTCGGCTGTGCCCGACCACGTGTCATGAGCTCCACGGGTGGTCGGCACCTACATATAACTTCGTAACTCCTGCAGCAACTACGCTGTCTTCGCAGCGGATCTGGTATGTAATTTAAAAGTACATCCGGTAAACTCCAGGTCAGTGACGTATAAGTGACGTTACTCCTGTGAAACCACGCTGTCTTCGCAGCGGGACTGGTATTGTGATTTAAATGTGCATCCGGTAAACTCCAGGTCAGTGACGTATAAGTGAAGTGTCCATGTGTCACTCATGTACTTTCATAAACTCTTAGTGCAGTGTATTAGCTCTAAGTATACTTAAAGGTAATCTTTTGTATGTAACTAATAAGGGCAGTAAACCTATTAGTACCCTCCCTTTGTAAACTCGGGGAAGTAAAAATACTAGTTCTCCATACTGTACCCTTAGATTAAATTATAACATGTAACTAAAGTAAATTTAAAATTAAAGCATCTGGTTATTTCTACTTGAAACTTGTTTTCGTTGTATGTAAGGCGCCCTTCCTTCTCCTCGCTTATAAATTTTACACGCAGCATCGGGTCAACCAGAACTCACCCACAAACCAGTCTCATGCTCACTCAAACCGACTGGAACTAACCATCACAACCCTACCTATTTCTGCCGCCAAGCAGTAATGTTAGCATTACTGCGTTCCGATTTTGAAGAAGAAGGTGCTGGTGAAATATATGCACATGGGACTTGTCAACTTATGTCTCAGGGTGACGGGCATAATGGTAGTGCCCCTCAGATCTTTGAAATTTGTTGACAGGCGTGTAGCTTACTATCAGGCGCACAACTTGTTCGTCCCATCCCTTAATGTTATAAAAAATATACCTTTCTGGTCGAGTGGTTTGCAATATCTTTTTCATGGTGTAGCCATTACTGAGGTCCTGGGTTCGACCCCCTACCGGGTCATTGTAGAAAAACACAATTGTTCGAAAAATTCTACGGAAAGTGGCGTGTCGGGAAAAAAATGAGTGCCAATGGTAACGCCGCAAGAAGTCGAGATGAGGGTAGTCGTCGACATCAAAAGAGGGTCGACAGATATGTCTGTCCTTAAAGCTATCTACTGCCGCTTGCCAGTCAACCCGTAACCATGGAGCATGTAACCACTATGAAATACCGGAAGAAAAACAAAAAATTATGATAATAATAAAGTATTATATCGATAAAAGCACACCCGTTTTTACCTGTTTCCTCAACCTTTCCAAAGCCTTTGATCTGGTCTGGTATAACATTCAATGGAAAAAACTGTAGGAGATGTCAGTTCCAGAGGAAGTAAGGGTGCGTTCCCTATTATGTCGTGACGACAGATAATCGTGCAGTTTAAAGTGTCGTGGCTTCTATAATTAAATGAAGTTGCTCACGTTCACGTTGTTCACTGTCGTTCACGCCTTTTTTGATAGACGACAGTCGTCAGACGATAAATAAAACGTCACGATAAAAACGCGACGACAGATAATCACAGCTACTATTATCGTCACATTTCATTTATAGTTGTCTGGACGTGTGCTGCTCCCTACTCTCCCCTCTCGTACCCCACGCCCTCAGCTGTGCATCAAACGATTCTGTCGTACAAACGATTATGCGGCTGCCGTGAACTGATAAATTGTCGTCCCTATCCAGTGGGAATAGCTTGTCTAGCTACAGTCGGTCAACGGTAAAAAAACGTCCACAGCACAAGCAAGACAGACAGTCGTGATACGGGAACAGGCTAAAAGCGTTGCTTTTAGTATTAGACGACTGTCGAGTCGTCAAACACTAAATAAAATGCCTGCCTCCGTGCCTCCGTTAACTGCCTCCGTGGTCGAACGGTTACCATGCCGGACTGCCACGCAGAGGTCCCAGGTTCGATTCCCGGGCCGGGCGAAATATTTGTATGACCTACATTTATTTCTCTCGTGAGTTTGGGTGTAATTTGTGGCTGTTTATCTGTGTGTCCATGGCACCCGCGACACAGGGTTTCCCTAGTGCGGGGCTATGTTGAGTGTGTGCGTTATTATTATTATTATTAATGTTACTACATAACGGGAACGCGCCTTAATACGCATACTTTAGTATTGGAATCTGAACCAGAATAACGTTGTGACGTGACCCAGGGCGGTCGGTCCTGTACAGGTTGGAGCGCGGGGTGTGGCAAGGAGGGTTAACTTCATACAAACTCTTAAATCTCTACATGAACACGCTGATAAAGGAGCTCAGTAGCATGCATATCGGTTGTGACATTAGCGGAGTCGTGATTATTCTTACCATGTTATAACTTCTTAATGTAACTCTTTCTTAATGATAATAACCTTTATGAAACAGGTCAGTAGTGACAATCCCTTGCTCGTGCAAAATTCAGAAGTCCGCTATTTTCGCAATATTCTTACGAAACATTATTTGTTTGTAATACACGTAAATATGATTAGTCCAAGTGACTTACGATAGTATCGTGTCACCAAATACAGCGTCTATGAAAATAACATATAGAGCTAAATTAAAAAACTTTCCGCTGTTGTACAATTGTTTTTTTTTAAGAAAAACAGTGATAGACGTAACATTAATACGACTAGTCAAAACAAACTGGTTGTTCTTGATATATGACTTCACAAAGTCACAAATAAATTTAAGAGGCAATAAATACGCCTCTATAATGATTTTGTTTCCAACAAAAATTCCAATGAATGTATTTCAGACATTCGTCTATAAGTATTAGTAACAGTACACTTAAAATAGGGTTAGTATTACAAATCAGTATCCTTTTTTATGTATATTAATATGCATTCGGGCCCAGTGCTCATGAAAAGAACCCTGAACGCATTGACTTTCAGGACGCTGTTGCCTCTGCCACTAATTCTGCGCATCAGGAAAGCCGCTCTTTTTCGCATAATAATAATAATTGGCATCTAAGGCCCACTTGT